TATTTTTTTTTTCAGATTTCAAGGACGAACCAGATATTTATGTCTACCACCATTTGAGATACGTGAGGATTGAATTATGGCAGGCAATTGTCACTACATTCAATATTTGCTGCTTCTTATTTGTTCTTTTTTTTTTTTACAGAATTTAAAATCTTTGTCAAACATTTTATTTCCATCAACCAGGTAAAATCTGGGACCTTGTTTGATAATGTTTTGGTGTGTGATGATCCTGAATATGCAAAGCAGCTTGCTGAAGATACTTGGGGAAAGCACAAAGATGTGTGTTTTATTTGCGGTATAATGTTTTCAATCTTTGTTAAGGAATTTACAGTTCATTAATGCTGAGATCATATGTGTTTGCAGGCAGAGCAAATTGCATTTGATGAGGCAGAGAAGAGGAGAGAAGAAGAGGTATTCTCATGCTCACCTGAAAGGGGGTGTGAGATTTTGTGACTTGAATATATCTTTATGTGTTGTGTGTGCTGATATGCCCTTGTTTCTACACATCATAAAGGAGATGAAGGGAAGGCAAAGTCTCTCGGCGCTCCCCTCCCCCTTTTTTCCTTAATGACCATGGGTTTTGTCATGGACACATCTGATGAATTAATGATCTTAGCTGTGTCCCCACCCATGGTTGTTTCACCAAATTAGTAATGAAGTCCCTGTAAAACAGTAAAAAGAAAGGGATTGTTTCCATGAAATTTTCTCTCTTTTTCTATGTCTACTGGAGGGAATTTTTTTGTCTTTAGTTCATTTAACACCTATTGGGAAGTGTGTGAAACTAATCTCTATAATGTCCTCTAGTAGCATTAGCTCCCAGAGTCTGCTGATCACCTTGAATGCTCTAGGATTTTTAGCTTAAGTATAATTTGGGTTTGCTTTAGTCGGTAAATCTGATAATATGTTCCTAATTCTGCTTCTTATTGTATCAGGAATCAATGAGTGATGCAGTTGATTCAGATGTAAGCTTCTGTTAACACTCTCTTAGGTTTTCACTTACATCACCAGCATGTTCTCAAGTATGCTTCTTATCTTTCAGGAAGATGAGGATTTTGATGATGCAGAAGGTGATGGGTATGATGAAGAGGCTAGTGAAGAGACAGACAGAGATGGTTGGGCAGCAGATGATGCGCACGTAGGTGTTCAATCTTTTTGTGAGAGTGTTACTTTCCCATTGTTGCACTTTTCTATTATATTCTAGTTTCGTATGTGTCTGAAATATTAATCTAATATAAATAGGTGATAGGGTGCCAGCAATACACACCTCACACACAATATTGTTTTATAATATCTTCCTATCTTTTGCTTCTTCTTCTTCTTCTCCTCAACCCTAGTACAAATTATTCAAGTTTCAACCAGGTAACAGAGTTGGGTCTTGGAACCATTTGAATTTCTGGTTATTCATGTTTGTATGTTTGTTTGTTAGTCCCATGCGCAAACCAGGTCTAACGGTTGTATCCTACGTCAAATGATTAAGACTGCCTAAGATTGATTTGTATGCTTAAAGGGTCTCTCCACTCATTACCACTAGTTTTGTGTTGAATGCTCTACCAGGACTAACACACGGTTTTATGATGCTAAATATTTTACTAAGCCAACACTAGAAGGCACAGTGAGTCAGAATCAAGACAAGGAAGTGATCATGGTTTTTCTGGAAACATTTGGAAAGATAGCAGATGTACAAAGAAGCAAAACTTCTACAAGAAAAATAGGAAAGCTATATAGTAGGAAAGTAGAACAATAAGAAAGTAACATAATAGGGAAGTAGAATAATAGGAAAGGAACACTCTTAACATTTTTCTTCATTTGTGCTACTCTGCATCGAAGCATTCATGAGTTCTAACATCCATGTTCATGATCCTTGTGGTTTACTTTTGCAGGATGAGCTGTAGAAATCTGAAGATCAAAGAACCTGATGGAGTGCTTCTGGCATCAATTTGGTGATGTTACATGGTTGGGTGCTTACGACCACAGAATTTAGTGTTCTTGTTCTTGCCGTCTTTGTACATAAGAGTATTTGCCTTGGTGGAAACAGTTCATATGACATGCAACACATGTTGCAACATGATTTCATGTTATATGGTTGAGATGTATTGTGGTACCACTCTCACCATATCTGGATAAGAATAAATATAGTCTGGTACTTGGATAATGGGTTCGCCTGGCTGTTCTGTATTTAGTTGTTCTAGAATATGCTGCAAATGGATTTTTTTTGCAATTCTCGTTTGTTTAATTATTCTATAGACATTTGCCTCTAATTGTCACACCTAACCTATTTCACTTCTTGCTGCCTTTCAGTTGACTACCAGTACAATCAACACCTTCATTGAAGCTTCTAAGAGTTGGTTCTTGTGTTCGACTCCCCATAAACAAAAACATAGAAGGTATGTTGTGTCAAGACATTTTTTTGACTTTGTAAACAAGCTTTTTTGATCCTTGGCAACTTCATCGACCGATACTTTATGGGTGGCTCAATATTTCTTTATGAACCCCCATCAAATATCGACTTTGAAACATCAAATCACACATTCTTTTGGGGACAAGTGGTAAAATGTTTAGCATTGGTAGTACACTAGTACTATAATACTCATACTTTTGCTAACCAACTATCCACACTTCTGCTAACGTTGCTGAAAGTACTTTACATCAACATTACCTAGGCAACAAAATTTGAACTCCGCATGACTGGATGGCCAATACTCTCACAAATTTAGAACTTGTATATGCCTTCATTCAACAGAATTCAATTCATGGCCAGTCTATGACTAGAGATAGATATAAGTGTGGAACCCAAATATTTACTAGAAATCTGAGATTATCGTTTCTCAATTCCCTAGAAATTAATAAAACAGTGTATGATCAAACTATTTCATAACCAAAAAATACATAATTTAATGTACACAAGTACCATAAAAGGAAGCCTATGTCAAAAATAAAATGTATTACGTATATTTCATTTGCTTTGCATGAGTATGATGGCTTTCAATAGCTGTTCCCCATTCAGTGGTTTCGATAAATAATAATCCATTCCAGCCTGAATCATCGTGCTGGCATCCTCACCTGTTGAATGAGCAATTAATGCGATGATTGGTATGTGAACACCATAATATTCCTCTTCTTGTCGTATGTGTCTGGTTGCTTCACAGCCATCCATCACGGGCATCTGTTAAACCCAAGTACTGTACTTAGAGCGTCTCCAATAGCGCTCTCTATTTTAGAGAGCATCGTTTTTGTTATAGAGGGCATCTTTGATGAAAAATTAAAATAGAGAGTGATATTTTTTTAACAACTCCAATAGGTTTCTCTTCTCGTATGGAAAATGTATGTTGGTCATCTTTTTCATTCATTAATGACAGTTTGAGTGGCAAACTCACTCTCTACTAGATAGAGTTAGTTTGCCACTCCAAATGTATAGAGAAAAATTGGGTTCTCTATTTTAACCGGTCTAAATAAAGAGCCCATTGGAGATGGATTTTTAGGGATTGACTCTCTTAAATAGAGAATTGAGTGATTGAGTGAGAATAGAGAGTCTATTGGAGACACTCGTATATTCTCATCCCAAAAATCAAAAAAGATGCCAGTAAGATACTTCATAGAATTTTGATAGGTTCCTTTCAGCAATTATACAATAAAATGACAAATTATTGAGCAGTTCTTCTCATCTTCTCCATAAGCATATACTCTGTTGCAGAAATTCATACTGAGGGAGCTGGAAGCACCCTGTATCGAGTGGGTTTAGTCAATCATCGTCACTCGTCAGCAATGACAGATGTTTTCTTATGTATGTTTTGTTCAAACTTTGAGTAAGCATATGTTTCAGTAAACAGAAATATATTAGGAAAAAAAGAAAGGAATATGGACCTTTACCTCGCAATCCATCAAGATATAATCATAAGGTAGAATATGAGCAGCTCTGCGTTTCCGTTGATCACTTAGACCTTTGCAAACTAGTTGCAAAGCTTCTTCCCCATTTTCACAGAGGATAACAGTTGCACCAAGCTTATAAAGACGAGTCATAGTTACTTTGCGTAACACTAAGTTACCCTCTGCTACCAAGACTTTCTTCCCACTCAGAGGTTTTGATAGGAATCGGATTATATTTCGTTATAATAGGCGTAGGCATAAGGATTATGAGTTATTTGTCATTATGCTTTTCAGGGATTTAGTTGTCATTATGACTATTTATTTCTTTTAGAGTTCTTTTAGGATTTGTGGTTTCTTTATATATATAGGAGATATGTTATTTGTTTTGGTAGACTTTGATTATTGACTATTGATATTAAATCTTCTTCCTAAAATTCTCTCTCTATTTTCATCCCCTTTTTCTTTTCTCATCCCTAATTCTTCTCTAATACGATCTACATTAATTTGGTATTAGAGTTTAACTTCGATTCGTATAAATCACAAAAATCTCAACAACCCCGTTCATCGAAAAAAAAAAAAAACTCTTCGCGCGAAATCACTGTTCATCTGCTGTCCAGGTAAAAAAAAAAAAAAAAACTTTGGCAAATTCTTATTGTTCATCGTTCCTGTTCCAGAAAAAAAATAAAATAAAATAAAATTTATCGTGTGCACTGTTCATCGTTGTTACTGTTCATTGCGCCTGTTTTTGTCATTGACCTGTGCTACTTTGACTTCATCGTTGTCCATCTTCTTCCTCGTTCCATCGTGTTAAGAAAGAAGACATTGGTTTTAAAGCTCCAGAATTACAGGAATCTCCGCAGAAGTTCCCGAAAGTTATAGAATCACCCAGAAGTTCTAATAAATTGCAGAAGTATCATCCAGAAATTTCAGTATTGCAGAAACGTCCCAATAGGTTCAGAAAATTACAGAAATATCACCCCAGAAGTTCCAAAAATTGCAATAACACCCCAAAAAGTTCTACACTTTGTAGGATCATCCCCTAACTTGTCAAGCATCCTCTTGGAGTTGCATCTAACACCAGGTACGAGTTCTTTTCGTTGAGAGTTGGTGACTAGTATTTATATTTGTTGGTAAGTCAAACAAAAAAATCTAAATTTTCTTTGTTTGTTGTTCACACACACCACCTTCATAACTTAGCTTATCCAATTTCTTGTTAAATCCATTGTTGCTTGTCTCTCGTTTATTTGAGCCTCTTTACAATAACCTTGTTCTTATGTGTGACCATTTGCATTGATTTATAATTTTTATTACTTGGTTTAATTTTTAGTCCAGTCGGCCATTTACGTTAGCCTAAAATTTACATTACATTCACTATGACCCTCCGTGAGCTTTCAGAATGTCATACTGCATTAGAACAAAAATTTGAGACACTCACCATTGATATGATCGATACTAAACAATCAGTCGACTTGTTACGTGAGGAAGTTAAAGGAATGGGACAATAACTTTCTCAAGTTACTACTCAACTAGCCCAATTGACTAAGTTTATGGAAAAACGACCAATAGACTATGACCAAAGTGAGTCACAAGTTTCACCTAAGTCTAACCAAGTACCCAATGTTCGGCACTTGTCTCTCCCGATAGATCCTACTGACTCATGTCAAGGTATCCTACCCACTTCGCAAGTAGCTCAGGGGAGCCGAATACAACGTTCAGATAGGAAGACACCTCCTAATACCGCTTTTAGACGAAACGTAGGTCGTAGAAATGTTCAAGAGGATCCCGCTGAGGTAGTCATGTCTGACTATTCAGCAGAGGGTGATATGGATTGTTATCGTGAGCCCTTCCGCCCACGTGCCAGATACCATAGGTCTCCTCCTCCGCGTTACCATAATCCTCGACATAGGCATGTCCACGAAGAATCTAGGGATATCACACAAAGAGTCAAAGTGGATGATCCTAGCTTTGATGGTAGGTTAGATCCTGTTGCTTTCTTAGATTGGTTGGATGACATGTATGACTATTTTGATTGGTATGATATGTCCGACAACCATCGGGTTCGTTTTGCCAAAATAAAACTCGTTGGTTAGGGTAAGAGATATTGGCAAGGAGTCCAACGAGACCAAGAACGCCTAGAGGGACAACCCATTACTTAATGGGCTGAGATGAAACAAAGATTGTTGGTCATGCCTTTTGGATTGTCTAATGCACCTAGCACATTTATGAGGGTTATGACTTAGATACTGCGTCCTTTCCTAGGAAAATTTGTAGTTGTTTACTTTGATGACATCTTGATCTATAGTAAGTCTAAAGAAGAGCATTTGGATCATCTTGGACAGATTTTGCAGACATTACGTGTGGAAAAATTCTATGCGAACCTTAAGAAGTGCTCCTTTGTGTAAACTCAAGTGCTTTTCCTTGGATTTGTTATTTCTGCGCATGTTATTGCAGCTGACCTAGAGAAAATTCGTGCTTTTTTGAGGTTCGAAGTTTTCTTGGTTTGGCCACCTTCTATAGACGATTTATTAAAGGGTTTAGTTCCATTATTACTCCCATCACAGAGTGCATGAAAAAAAGGGAGTTTCAATGGACACGTGCTGCAACTAGAGCCTTTCAAGAAATTAAGCACATGATGACAGAGGCACCCGTTCTTCGACACCCAGATTTTTTTAAGGTGTTTGAGGTTGCTTGTGATGCATTTGGTGTAGGGATAGGTGGAGTTTTGAGTCAAGAGGGCCATCCTATTACTTACTTCAGCAAAAAACTCAATGAAGCTAAACAGCGATACTCTATATATGACAAAGAGTTCTACGTTGTGGTACAAGCTCTTCGCCATTGGAGGTATTATCTATTGCCATCTGAGTTTGTGTTATATTCTGATCATCAGGCATTAAAATACCTTTATTCCCAGAGAAAATTGAGTGTTAGGCACGTTAGGTGGGTTGAGTTCCTTCAGGAGTATACTTTTGTTCTTCACCACCGAGCGGGCATTGAAAACAAGCCTGCGGATGCTCTTAACCGTGTAGTTACTGTTTTACAGATTATGAGTGTCTATGTGATTGGCTTTGACAGGATTAGAAACAGATTATGAGTGTCTATGTGATTGGTTTTGACAGGATTAGAGATAAGTATGCCTCTTGTCCTGACTTTGGTATCATTTTTCAGGAGGTTCAGTCTGGTAACCGTCATGAGTACATTGACTTCCTTCTTAGAGATGGTTACTTGTTTAGAGGGTCGTGCTTATGTATTCCCCGTACTTCACTTAGGGATTTCCTGATTTGGGAATTACATGCGGGAGGTTTGGCAGACCACTTTTGTAGGGATAAGATATTTGCACTTGTTGAGGATACGTTTTATTGACCCACTTTGAGGTGTGACATTATTATGATAGTGTCACAGTGTCGCACTTGTTAGTTAGCAAAGGCTAGGAAACAAAACACAGGGTTGTACACACCATGGAGAGACCTTAGTATGGACTTTGTCTTAGGATTGCCTAAAACAACCCATAATCATGATTCCGTTCTAGTTATCGTGGATAGGTTTTCTAAGATGACCTATTTCATTCCTTGCACTAAGTCTACTGATGCCTCACATGTAGCAAAGTTATTTTTTAGAGAGGTCGTTCGACTACACGGGTTGCCTATTTCCCTTGTATCTGATAGGGATGTCAAGTTTGTGAGTTAGTTTTGGAAGACACTTTGGAAACTCTTTGGAACTAGTCTTAAGTTTTCCTCTGCCTTTCATCCCCAAATTGATGGTCAAACTAAGGTAGTCAATTGTAGTTTAGGAGATTTGCTTAGGTGTCTAGTGGGTGAGAAGATGGGAAATTGGGATTTGTTGTTGCCTACTGTTGAATTTGCCTATAATAACTCCGTCAACAGGTCGACTGGTCTATCTCTTTTTGAGATTGTTTATGGTCGTTCCCCTAGACAGCCCATTGATTTATTACTTTTACCTCCTGATTCCCGCCCCTCACACTCAGCCGAAGCTTTTGCCCAACATATTTATGACTTGCATGCCGATATAAGACAGAAAATTATATTAAGTAATGAGAATTATAAATTGGCTGCAGATGTTCATCGTAGGAATAAAGAATTTATTGTGGAAGACTATGTCATGGTTCGTGTGCGTCCTGAACGTTACCCTAAAATTCTTTCAAAAAGTTACATGCTCGAGCCACTGGCTCTTTTCGTATTCTTCGTAAGTTTGGACCTAATGCATATCACCTTGACTTACCTTCGAATATGAGTATTAGTCCTTATTTTCAATGTGGAGGACTTGTTTCCTTATCATGGTACTTTTGAGCCTCCTATGTTTCCAGCAGGTGTTCCTACAGGTGGACTTGTTTCGTCATCAACATCAACTACATTTCCTTTTCTTCCACCGTTTCCACCACAGCTGCATGACCAGATTGTAGTGATCAGATTATGGGCTCCTCGGATGGAGGATATCGTCGTTATCTTATTCGGTGGAGAGATCGTTCAGAGACTGATGATTCATAGATTACTGAGGAGGAGTTTCGTCGGCTTGACCCTGATCTTCTAGAGCATTATCATGATCGTATCTCTCCGGAGGCGAGTTCTTTTCAGCCGGGGGGAAATAATAGGAATCGGATTATATTTTGTTATAGTAGGCGTAGGCGTAAGGATTAGGAGTTATTTGTCATTATACTTTTCAGGGGTTTAGTTGTTATTATGACTATTTATTTCTTTTAGAGTTCTTTTAGGATTTGTGGTCTCCTTATATATATATATATAGGAGATATGTTATTTGTTTTGGTAGACTTTGATTATTGACTGTTGATATTGAATTTTCTTCCTAAAACTCTCTCTCTATTCTCATTCTCTTATTCTTTTCTCATCCCTTTCTTCTTCCCTTCTCATCCTTAATTCTTCTCTAATACGATCTACATCAGGTTTATTAGTGCTTGGGTCGCCAAGTTCTTTTATTTCCCCTTGATGTGTTGGGAGGTTTTGAGCCCGAGAATATCTTAATCTCGGCATCAGGTGAGTCTTACTTGCTGAAGTACTGGATTTTGTGGGAACTTTGCCAGAATGGTTTGTGTTTTCTCCTTCTATTTTTGGTGGCGTCGCGGGCGTTATTCCCCCAAACTCTGGTAGAAGATTGATCACTTGATACAAACGAGAACAATGAAATGGCTTAGATATGATCAGATCTGTAGGAGGTAGCTTGTCCTTATCAAGGCCCTGGGCATTAATGCTTTGAGCACTTGGTTTATCTATTCAAACAACCCTGTTACAAGTATTGCAGAGGTCCCTTCTAAATTCTGCCACAGCCCTACTGAGTTCTCGAAATGGTCCAGCTCTTGTATCTATTACTATTAATATGAAGTTTGGTGCACCCTTAGGTGAGTTCTCTTTTGGAGGGGTGGTATGTGATCTGCTCCATCTAGCATACTTAGGGGCACTTCCTTTGATCTAGTACTAGAGTTGCAGGTTGCTGGTCTGCTAAGGCTGTCACTTATCGTATCTTCCCGAAGAGCTGTAACGGGAAAGGATCATCTTTTGTTTGATCTTCTTGAGAGTGTGAGGAAGATGCTCATAGTTATTTACGGCAGACACTTCTATCCCTAGGTTCTCTATGAATTCCTTTAGAATCTTACACCTTTTGTCGCTCTGAATGAAGAGTACAACATGGGATCCTTCTAGCTTAGGACTATGAATACGAGTACTTGGCCCTGAATGTTGATATGAGTCACTGGATATGTAGCCACCATGAGACTCATTGTCATCTTCGCTTTCATTACCACTTGTGTCGGTCTCACATACAGTGAGGAAGGTGTTGAACTTAAAGCAAGTTCCCTTTTCTCCAACTTCCTTGTTCAGAATTCCTATCTCTCCACCCATTAAACGTATCTATCACAAAATAAACCACTGATTTAGATACTTCTCAATTCATTCTAAAATTCTGGAAATTAATAAACCGCAAGAGAAGTTTAGCAGCTTTTAAGCATTTACATACCAGAGATTGAACAATACCAAGCCCTAAACCAGTGCCTGCTTGTCCAGGAGCCGTCTCTTTGACCTGAACATAGTTTTCAAAAACGGATTTTTGCTTCTCTTTAGGAATTCCCTTTTCTTTGTCATTTACCTCAAATGCAAATTCCATGTGTTTGGGATCTTGTTGGAGTGTGTTGTTCATGGCTTCCAAGTCATTGTATGATTTATCGTTCTTAAAGCAGAAGCATGATATGCATCCTATTGAATTGTTTTGATTAGAAGCGAGTATCGAATTTTCAAACCTAGGTTTCCTTGCCCAAGCTCGAACAGAAACATGTCCCTCAGGGGTAAATTTGACAGCATTGCTCAGTAAGTTACATAATATCTGTTTCAGTTTTCCCCGATCGCCTTTAACATGAGAAAGTTTTGTAATAGAGCCATCATAGGGGTCCAACACCACATCTACACCCTTTTTCATACCAAGAGGATGATATAAATCAACTACATCTTCAAGTAGCAGTGCCAAGTCAAATACTTCTTCTTCAAGTAGCATCTTGCCAGCTTCAATCTTGCTTGTATCAAGAATAGAATTCAGTATACCTGCACAACTGATAATAGATTCAGTATTTTTTTTTTTTTGATTGAAGAAAAAGGGGTGGAGGCAAAGGAGAGCGCCTAGAGACTACCTTGAGAAGCCCTTAGATGGGATTATGCGAGCGTGCCCGTTATTTCTCTCGGGAAAGAACCTAGTTAGATTAGTATAGCGGTTAACCACCGAGTTCTAATGTGGAGTCAAAGACTCGAACCTCCAACCTCATAATGAGAAATTCGGCCGATACTCCACTGAACACCCCACCCAATGGTTGATAATAGATTCAATTATGCATGAGTAAGCTTTCCAAAACATTTTCAAATTATGGCTGACAATTCTAGACACGGTCTTTGAACTTCTGGATTAACTTTGATAGTTTAGATGGTAAATGAGTGAATTCCTCAAACCCATCAAATAACTACATGTCAAGCCACAAATTTAGCTAATCGCAGTTTATACATGACGTAAATTTTACACAATACGAACTCAATTATACAAATGGGTCTAATATGGGTTGAGCAATTTTTTATGTAGACATGATGATGTACATAATTTAAGAGCACGAAACAACACCACTCAGTGACGGAGAAACAAAGATTGAAGTGGCAGAGAGTAAATTTACCCAGAAGATCCTTTGTGCAGGCTACCATTGGTGTTAAGTTTGTCTCCAACTCGGATCCGGGAGAGACTTGATTGTGACATATCGCTATCAAGCCAGTTACGCCGGCTAGAGAAGCACGCACATTATGGCTGGCACTTGCAAAGGCGAGACTCTTATTCATACTCTTTCTTTCTGTTTGTTGAGTTGCTTCCATTTGATTTATGAGTGCAACATATAAATACATCTCTCTTCTGGCTGCTCTAACAACGAAGAACACAAAAATGAAAATGGAGAGCACCATTGCACCAATCATCAGCTTAAGGAGCATGAACGCGAACTCGATGTTTTTGTTTATAACACTCTTTAGTCCCTTGTGAGCCATAGCCAACACATATACCTGAAATTTCGATGTAACTGGAATTATATAACTCCCATACCACAATGAATTACCACTAAAATCTTTTTTTGTTCCCGGGAAAAAAATCCCGTGGGCTAAGACTCAAAAAATTCCCCTATTAGGAAGCAACCGGTCAGAAACGAAATACAAGACATTCATAACCCATATAAATCTTGCGCAAATATATATTTTATGTAAAGAGCCAAATTTCGTTTGGGTGCATAAAAATGTTGAGAGAAAATTAGAATTTTTGTTCTTAAACATCCTGGAACATCCCAACATGTGAAAATTTTAATTTGCTATTACTGATTTGTTTTTATTTTCACTGAAAAAATGAAATGGTTGGGTGTAAACAAAATGTAATTTGGATCCTTGTATGAGTGCATGGTCAAGAATTCGCAATTTTAAACTTAGAAACTGTTTTTTTATTTTTGAAAATAGTTTTCGAGAGAAAAGATGTTAGACTTGTAAACTTTAATCAAATAAACATTTGGGTGTCATTGACTGCAACAATAGATACAGAGGGAGAGGAATCAATAAAAGCAAATAAAGAAGAATTATTAGTCATGTGATGGGTGGCTCCTGAGTCAAAAATCTAGGCAGTTCTAGATATACTTGAAGGACCCGAAGTGAAAAAATATACTGAGGGAGAAATTGATAGGGCACCTAGTTGGCGAAGTGAAATAAGCTTCTGTAATTGATCAAGTATAATAGTCATGCTGGGAGCTGATGGGAGTGACTCATCCACCGGTGATGCAGCTGCTGTTGTATGATAATCTTTAGGTTTAAATCGTTGATTTAATACCCCTTAGCATTTTTGTTTATAAATTTTGGACATTGTACCTTCCAGTGACTCTTACTAATAGTCTGAAGTGAATTAAAATTTTCACTTGTCATAATGTTAACCAAAGGATCAAAAAGCCCAAATCAAACAGCTCAAATCAAACAGCCAAAATAGGTGCAAAGTCCAAAGCCCAAATCAACAAAATAATGTCCAAATCAAATAGCTGAAAGCCCAATAGTCCAAAGTAGGTGCAAATTTAAAGTTCTGTTCTCAAACTCAAAACAAGAGCCAAAGAGAATACCAGCGAAGCCAAGAGCAGAAACTAAAATCAGAAGAAGCAGTCAATGCCAAACAATTCATAATTTGTCACAAATCAACTCAACAACTTTGTAAATCAAATACCCATAATAAATTGAGGTTTCTTACACAAAAATACAACAAAAATAACACTAAAAATCGAAATTCAGCATTGTTCACAGCGTAAACAGTAACTTCGGTACTGTTCATAACACATGAACAGTAATTTCGGCACTGTTGTTCACCGAATTAATAATATTTTTAGCACTGTTCACCAAGTGAACAGTATTTTTGGCACTATTCATAACCCTTAGAACCACAAAAAGTCAACAACTCACTAATCACTAGCTCTCAAATCACACAACCTAACACCAAGAACATTTAATCACACTACTTAGGCTTGATATGAAGTAAAGAAGTAGAAGAAAATAGCAAAAAAAAAATCGTCATAGATGATGTTAGTCCTAATCCAAAAATATATTATTTCTCTAACTAAATTACTGTGATGCTGCAATATATTTTGGATTGAAATCATGCTCTGATACCATGTAAACTTTGATCAAATAAATAAGAGCGAAATGAGAAAGAGAAAATATTATTATTGCTAAACAAGTCTATAATACTACTTTACCTATAATACATAATGTAGACCCTTATATAGTAGGGCAACAAAATAATGTAAAATTTATAAATTATTTATATTAGTTGTTTTTTTGTTTTTATTTTTTGAAAATCGAGAACAAAAAATAGACAAATTTAAAGAACAAGATAGAACTATTTTGTGTATTTTTAGAAACAATATTTCCAGAATTTAGAAAACATCACCTTCTTCCACCACCACCACCAACACCAGTACACTTCCACCAAAATCACCACACTCCCACCACCAGTACATCTACCACCATCAACACCACCACGTCCACCACCACACTCTTACCATCACATTTCCGTCATCACCACATTTATGTTTTCATTATTTTTTGGGTTACTGTCTAAATAAGTTTTATTGTTTTTAGTCTGTAAAACTGTTTTTGAAATTATAAAACAAAACAAGTTTTGCGATATAAAAAACACAAAAACACACTTTTCTAAAACTTTAAAAATAAATACTTTTCAAATATTATTTTTTGGGACGCAAACAAAAAATGGCCGAAATTTCCAAAGCATTGAATTGAAACATACCGATTGCACTCCAAGGATTTGGATTTCCATCGGTGAGCAATAAAACATAAACTTCATCTCCCAAATGTTCAAGATAGAAGCTCTTAAGGCACCATCATTGGGTTCACATGTAACATTACCAACCTGGCCTATTTGATCACCGTTTGGTTTCAGCAATTGAATTGAAACCGAATTACCAACAAGAACCATGTGGGTATTTGGGATCCCTTCACCGAGTACTTTCCCATCCATTGTTGCCAAATACAAGCTTCCTCCATTGCGACTTACACCGGAGAAGAAATCCAATACTGATTTCACTGGAAACCCTAGAGAGATAGCTCCTCTTCCATCCATACCCACCGTGTTAAGGAACAGAAGATCTTGACCGTTAATCCACCCAGTTCCTATTGAAGCATTCCCATTTGTGCTATTCAGAGCTTCTTGAAACCAGCTTGCCTTAACTGTAACCAATGGAAGAGACTCCACAGCTTCACCGTATAGCTTCCCGGTGTCCCGGTTTACCGGCTGAGTGTACCAAGTGTACTTTGTTGTGGCTTTTGGCGTAGTAAAAGACGTTGAGTTGAATTTGAATATACAGCAAAAGGTTGATCACCTTTTGTGTAGTACGAGAAGAAAAAACCATATAATCCAATGTGTGAAATCTGTAATAGGTGTGGGATTGTTGATAATGCTTGAAACAGTACAGGAGCCACCTGCTCAATAGTAGTAACCCAAAACAAATTAGAAAAATGTTTTTCAAAATCATTTTTATCTCTGTTTGAACTTAAAATATAAAATCTCAAGAATGCTTGGATATCTGATAAATTGGAATGTATTAAGAAGATGTCATGTGATAGAATTTGAAAAAAAGAGAGAGATGATCAATCACAACTATATTTGAAAAAAAAAAGTAACTAATTGGAAGTTACCGGTCAGACAACCATCGATAGAGATAAAATTGTCAAGAACAGTGGCTATAAAAAGCATGTAATGGAAAAGATGAACGATACATTTAAACCCGACCCACGATCTAAGCATTTTAGAAGTAGTATTAGATTAGTTATAGGAAAAAACTACTATTACAATTAAAACTGTTAATCCAGTCTTTTTTGTATCCGAAGTTTCTTCGATTGAATTAATAAAAGAATCATCTTTTATTTGTTTCTTACAATTCATCCAAAAAAGTCATAAAACAAGATATTTGAACTTTTCACATACAATCACCTGAAAACTGTCAGTCAATTGGATTTTTTTCCGTCAATAAAAACATAATTTAGAGCAACAATCTCATCACTCTTTTAGATAAGCAAGAGAAAGAAATACTAACCTTGGTTTCAATACTAGAGAATGGAAGTTCGGGTTCGTCGATAGATGAACTAAAAACTCTCACTAAATTGGTTGCCGATGAATTCATCGGAATAAACACCGCAGCTATATTTTCAATTTCTGAGAGTAGGTTTTGGTGGATTTGGTGTGAAATCAATTTCACTTCATCTTCAACTCTTCTGACCTTGGTAATCCAAAATGGGATCACCAAACCGGGTAGCAGCAGTACTACAAATGGCTGCATAAGGCACTCATGTGTATCAGTTTCTTTCTTTCTTCTTAAATTTAGAGAGAGATGAAACCTTATGGAAACATTCCTCAATTATCAAAACTTACCAGAACAATGAAGAAACAAACAGGCCTCAGCACTATCAATGAGCTGAACTTCATGAGACCTGGTGGTTGTGATTGTGAACAATGGAAGGCTAGTACCTTCTTTGCTTCACCATGGGAAAATTAGGAGTACATGCTGAGATCCCTGGTTTAGGAGAATTAGAGCAATTTAGAGGTCATAAACTTTTTACAGTGGAAGATAATTTAAATAAGGAAACTATTAGACCGCAGTCAATTAAGGTCTTTTATGATGGGAAGAGCTACATAAAGCAAGTATATGAATGCATATATATTCTCTACAAACCAGCAAAATTGAGGGTTGATTAATTCTAATTTCTACATTACAAATCACCAAACATGCTTTACACCATCCTCCTAAGCAAAAAGATTATACAATATAGTTTATGAATTCTGAAAGGTCGTCTGATTATTTTTTTTTAGTACATCAAAAAGTATAAAACAAACAAATTAAAAAGAGTTCATAGGAAATGAAACATTGACCACGTCGGCCATTAAACAACTAGCAATTTGAGGTGGGAATCCTTGAGCTCAACAAAAAATTGCAGTTGGCTGACGCTAAGGTTTGTTAGTTTATCTGTACACTGATTTCCTTCTCTGAGATTGTGAATCAATTCTATTATCCGATTTCTACTCACTAAAGAAACATCCACGAATCTAGAAGTTGTGAATAATTATTTAATTAAAAACAAAGTATTACAAACACTTTAACAATAAAAACCAAATCTCCCTATCTCCCTTTATGCATTAAAATCTCTAAAAAAAATTAATAAAAAGAAATGCTAGTAATTAAGGTCTTCTAGTTTACATTAAACAAACCCAATATTTTAGCCATTTTTTAATATCATGGAATTATTAGTAATTTATTTCTTCTCCATTATATTTTTAGGTCAATTTAAGAAAAATATTATTTAAATTTAATTTGAGAATCTAATCAATTACAATGACTCAACTAATATGACGACCACGTTAAATTAGGTCCATATAATATTGTTCTAAATTTATTAACCAAATCTAATATTGTTGTTATATCAATTGCGGTATAGATAAACTTTTTTAAATTTTTTAATAGAAGATATTGCCCATAATTAAAGTCTTTTTAGATTATATTCATTTAATAGAATTGTTAGTTAAATTCATTATTATCGTTAGGGTTGATAATTGAATCGAACTTAATTTTTTTTTTTTAAATTAAATTTAAAAAAATTATTCAAATTTAATTATTTTAAAATCAAAATAAATCGAATACGTGTAAAACGGTTCGATTATCGACTCTAATTACCGTTGATATTGATGGAAATCCCAACGACAAGATTTTGATTTGCAGAAAAAATGAAAAAAAACGACCGTTTTTCCAAAACGGACAAGCACGCGCAGCTCCGAGAGGAAAACCCCCAAATTCCCGCCAAAGCATACGCCGATTGTATAATTTCCCGGGAAATTCCCGCCTTCTTCCTCACTCCTATATTCATCAGAGCCCTCTTTTCAACTTCCATTCTTCATTCCTCTCTCTCTCTCTCAGAGACAACTAGGGTTTCTCTCTCATCATCGCTTCCACAGTCTCTTTTTATCTCTGTTGAAAAAACNCCCCCCCCCCCCCCAAACAAAAAAAAAAAGATAAACACAAATTTTCCTTGAGAGAATGGTGAACTTATTTTTTTCCTGTATAAATTGGCTTCACTGCAAAAAAATATAGATATACAATATAGTTCATGAATTCTAAAAGGTCGTCTGATTATTTTTTTTTGGTACATCAAAAAGTATAAAACAAACAAATTAAAAAGAGTTCATAGGAAATGAAACATTGACCACGTCCGCCATTAAACAACTAGCAATTTGAGGTGGGAATCCTTGAGCTCAACAAAAAATTGCAATTGGCTGACGCTAAGGTTTGTTAGTTTATCTGTACACTGATTTCCTTCTCTGAGATTGTGAATCAATTCCATTATCCGATTTANTTTTCAAAATCATTTTTATCTCTGTTTGAACTTAAAATATAAAATCTCAAGAATGCTCGGATATCTGATAAATTGGAATGTATTAAGAAGATGTCATGTGATAGAATTTGAAAAAAGGAGAGAGATGATCAATCACAACTACATTTGAAAAAAAAAANTACTCACTAAAGAAACATCCACGAATCTAGAAGTTGTGAATAATTATTTAATTAAAAACAAAGTATTACAAACACTTTAACAATAAAAACCAAATCTCCCTATCTCCCTTTATGCATTAAAATCTCTAAAAAAAATTAATAAAAAGAAATGCTAGTAATTAAGGTCTTCTAGTTTACATTAAACAAATTCATTAACCAAACCCAATATTTTAGCCATTTTTTAATATCATGGAATTATTAGTAATTTATTTCTTCTCCATTATATTTTTAGGTCAATTTAAGAAAAATATTATTTAAATTTAATTTGAGAATCTAATCAATTACAATTACTCAACTAATATGACGACCACGTTAAATTAGGTCCATATAATATTGTTCTAAATTTATTAACCAAATCTAATATTGTTGTTATATCAATTGCGGTATAGATAAACTTTTTTAAATTTTTTAATAGAAGATATTGCCCATAATTAAAGTCTTTTTAGATTATATTCATTTAATAGAATTGTTAGTTAAATTCATTATTATCGTTAGGGTTGATAATTGAATCGAACTTAATTTTTTTTTTTTAAATTAAATTTAAAAAAATTATTCAAATTTAATTATTTTAAAATCAAAATAAATCGAATACGTGTAAAACGGTTCGATTATCGACTCTAATTACCGTTGATATTGATGGAAATCCCAACGACAAGATTTTGATTTGCAGAAAAAATGAAAAAAAACGACCGTTTTTCCAAAACGGACAAGCACGCGCAGCTCCGAGAGGAAAACCCCCAAATTCCCGCCAAAGCATACGCCGATTGTATAATTTCCCGGGAAATTCCCGCCTTCTTCCTCACTCCTATATTCATCAAAGCCCTCTTTTCAACTTCCATTCTTCATTCCTCTCTCTCTCTCTCAGAGACAACTAGGGTTTCTCTCTCATCATCTNTTATAGGAAAAAACTACTATTACAATTAAAACTGTTAATCCAGTCTTTTTTGTATCCAAAGTTTCTTCGATTGAATTAATAAAAGAATCATCTTTTATTTGTTTCTATTACAATTCATCCAAAAAAGTCATAAAACAAGATATTTGAACTTTTCACATACAATCACCTGAAAACTGTCAGTCAATTGGATTTTTTTCCGTCAATAAAAACATAATTTAGAGCAACAATCTCATCACTCTTTTAGATAAGCAAGAGAAAGAAATACTAACCTTGGTTTCAATACTAGAGAATGGAAGTTCGGGTTCGTCGATAGATGAACTAAAAACTCTCACTAAATTGGTTGCCGATGAATTCATCGGAATAAACACCGCAGCTATATTTTCAATTTCTGAGAGTAGGTTTTGGTGTGAAATCAATTTCACTTCATCTTCAACTCTTCTGACCTTGGTAATCCAAAATGGGATCACCAAACCGGGTAGCAGCAGTACTACAAATGGCTGCATAAGGCACTCATGTGTATCAGTTTCTTTCTTTCTTCTTAAATTTAGAGAGAGAAAAAACCTTATGGAAACATTCCTCAATTATCAAAACTTACCAGAACAATGAAGAAACAAACAGGCCTCAGCACTATCAATGAGCTGAACTTCATGAGACCTGGTGGTTGTGATTGTGAACAATGGAAGGCTAGTACCTTCTTTGCTTCACCATGGGAAAATTAGGAGTACATGCTGAGATCCCTGGTTTAGGAGAATTAGAGCAATTTAGAGGTCATAAACTTTTTACAGTGGAAGATAATTTAAATAAGGAAACNCCCCCCCCCCCCCCAAACAAAAAAAAAAAGATAAACACAAATTTTCCTTGAGAGAATGGTGAACTTATTTTTTTCCTGTATAAATTGGCTTCACTGCAAAAAAATATAGATATACAATATAGTTCATGAATTCTAAAAGGTCGTCTGATTATTTTTTTTTGGTACATCAAAAAGTATAAAACAAACAAATTAAAAAGAGTTCATAGGAAATGAAACATTGACCACGTCCGCCATTAAACAACTAGCAATTTGAGGTGGGAATCCTTGAGCTCAACAAAAAATTGCAATTGGCTGACGCTAAGGTTTGTTAGTTTATCTGTACACTGATTTCCTTCTCTGAGATTGTGAATCAATTCCATTATCCGATTTCTACTCACTAAAGAAACATCCACGAATCTAGAAGTTGTGAATAATTATTTAATTAAAAACAAAGTATTACAAACACTTTAACAATAAAAACCAAATCTCCCTATCTCCCTTTATGCATTAAAATCTCTAAAAAAAATTAATAAAAAGAAATGCTAGTAATTAAGGTCTTCTAGTTTACATTAAACAAACCCAATATTTTAGCCATTTTTTAATATCATGGAATTATTAGTAATTTATTTCTTCTCCATTATATTTTTAGGTCAATTTAAGAAAAATATTATTTAAACTTAATTTGAGAATCTAATCAATTACAATTACTCAACTAATATGACGACCACGTTAAATTAGGTCCATATAATATTGTTCTAAATTTATTAACCAAATCTAATATTGTTGTTATATCAATTGCGGTATAGATAAACTTTTTTAAATTTTTTAATAGAAGATATTGCCCATAATTAAAGTCTTTTTAGATTATATTCATTTAATAGAATTGTTAGTTAAATTCATTATTATCGTTAGGGTTGATAATTGAATCGAACTTAATTTTTTTTTTTTAAATTAAATTTAAAAAAATTANCCATAATTAAAGTCTTTTTAGATTATATTCATTTAATAGAATTGTTAGTTAAATTCATTATTATCGTTAGGGTTGATAATAAATCGAACTTAAATATTTTTTTTTAAAATTAAATTTAAAAAAATTATTCAAATTTAATTATTTTAAAATCAAAATAAATCGAATACGTGTAAAACGGTTCGATTATCGACTCTAATTACCGTTGATATTGATGGAAATCCCAACGACAAGATTTTGATTTGCAGAAAAAACGAAAAAAAACGACCGTTTTTCCAAAACGGACAAGCACGCGCAGCTCCGAGAGGAAAACCCCCAAATTCCCGCCAAAGCATACGCCGATTGTATAATTTCCCGGGAAATTCCCGCCTTCTTCCTCACTCCTATATTCATCAGAGCCCTCTTTTCAACTTCCATTCTTCATTCCTCTCTCTCTCTCTCAGAGACAACTAGGGTTTCTCTCTCATCATCGCTTCCACAGTCTCTTTTTATCTCTGTTGAAAAAACACCTTTTGTTCGATGGCCTCGTCACGTCGATCGAGCAATGGCCGATCACCGCTAGTGAATCAACAGCGTCAAATCACCTCTTTCTACTCCAAGACGACATTATCTTCTCCTTCCCCATTGCCATCCCCTGTTCTCTCCAAACAAGCTTCTAAACCTAACCCAAGCCCTAGCACTAGCTCCAGCCCCACTACTCCTTCACCTCTCCAAACCAAACGCAAGAAGCCCCTCTTAGTGATCAGCCCATCTCCACCATCACCGTCAAGTCCTGCTTCCGACACGGCCAAGAAATTGTATGGAAAAGAGGTCGTGGACAAAAGAATTAGGGTTTATTGGCCGTTGGATAAAACATGGTACGAAGGTTTTGTTAAATCTTTTGATAAAATTTCTGGGAAGCATCTGGTTCAGTATGATGATGCTGAGGAGGAGCTACTTGATCTCGGGGAGGAAAAAGTTGAGTGGGTTGGGGAACCGGTGAACAAGTTTCGACGATTGCGTCGCCTTTCCATGGTTGAAGACGATGTTGACAAAGAAGAGGAAAAGAGAAGTGTGGAGGATGTGGAAAGTGGTGGTGGTGATTCTGCGGACGAAGATTGGGAAAAGAATGCAGAAAAAGAGGAGGTTGAGGACGTCTCAGAGGATATGGATTTGGAGGATGAGGAAGAGGATAATGAAGTGGAAGGTGGGAAGAAAATGGCCGCGTCAAGAAAGCGAAAGGTGATTGGAGGAGCGAATTTAGGTTCTAGAAAGAAAAGCAAGAGTGTTGGAGATGTTAAAAAGAGTACGTCTAAGGTTTCTTTGCATATCAATGGAGGAAAACCGAGGGAGGCTACTAATATCATTGATTGTAAGTGATGGGGTTTGAGAATACTATTAATACTTATTTCAATGATTCTCATTTTAATACTTAAAAGAGGACATTTCAGATACGAGGAGATGTAGTTTATTCAAGATTGATTTGGTAGCAAACATTGGGGTTCTTTCTTCAGATGCTATTTACAAATTGTTTCTATATGGCAAGTGGGGCTACATATTGGCTGAATTTTCTCGAGTTAGATTTAATGTTATTGGCCAAAATAAATTATTGTCAATGTTGGGATATGTAATGTGAAGAACTACGTAGACCATAAGAGCTGCTCTTTTTGTCATTGTGTTGCAACCATAAAATTAGTGAATACTAATGGAATAGCTATGTTTTATAAGATAGATTATTGCTCAAATATTGTGAGGTGTGTGAATTTCAATAGTGTGTTGTCTTTCTGTTTTTCACCATATGATTTTTGAACTTGGAGAGCAAATGGTAAATATATTACAGCTATTAACCATTGTTATGTTTTCAGTTTATGTAAAAATGGAAGAAACAACTTTCATGGGATGTATTTTACTGGCATAATATGTGAGCTTGCTTTGTTGCAGGCGGAAAAGCATCTCTTGTTGTCAATAGTGTTTTAGTATGTGATGCAGCAGAGAGATTTGGCATCCGTGAATCTGAGAAATTTCGTTTCCTTAGAGAGTAAGTATTAATTGCATTTTTTGGGCCTCTTCCCTATGTATTGGACACTGTATAGGAAATGTGATAGACTGAGGTTCTATGTTTTTGATTGAAAGGGGGAAAGAATCTGGGGTTGTAATTAATTGTCATTTCCTTCGATTATGTTAGTGTAGTTGCTTTTACTTTCCTGATATGTGAATTTTGAAATCTTAATCATTATGCGTCGAATTGCTTCTTCTCCAAAGCAGAGACCGGAGGGATGCTAATAAAAAACGTCCAGAAGATGTCGGTTATGATCCGAAAACACTGTACATACCTCCTGATTTCTTAAAGAGATTAACCGGTGGCCAGGTAATTATTTTGTCATGTGTATTGGTACAGAGTACGTTGTATTTATCTGGATTGCAATTTTACTGGTGTGTGCTTTTGTTGATTGGTAGAGACAATGGTGGGAGTTTAAGGCGAAGCATATGGACAAGGTTCTATTTTTCAAGGTAATATCCATGTTATTGAATAACATGTGGATCAATGTTGTCACACATTCATGCAACCAAATGACAAATATTTCATCGTTGTTTACGCAGATGGGAAAGTTCTATGAGCTTTTTGAAATGGATGCGCATATAGGAGCAAAAGAACTTGATTTGCAATATATGAAGGTAGTTTGTACTGCATTGAGAAAACTGATTGGGATTGTGTTATGATTTAATGTCAAGAGGGACAAAAGCTTTACCAAATGCATTTGTCTTTTGAACTTAAAACATAGTATTGACTTTTATTGGTTGGTTGAAACCTGTTATTTTTGTTATTTTCCNCCAAAATAAATTATTGTCAATGTTGGGATATGTAATGTGAAGAACTACGTAGACCATAAGAGCTGCTCTTTTTGTCATTGTGTTGCAACCATAAAATTAGTGAATACTAATGGAATAGCTATGTTTTATAAGATAGATTATTGCTCAAATGTTGTGAGGTGTGTGAATTTCAATAGTGTGTTGTCTTTCTGTTTTTCACCATATGATTTTTGAACTTGGAGAGCAAATGGTAAATATATTACAGCTATTAACCATTGTTATGTTTTCAGTTTATGTAAAAATGGAAGAAACAACTTTCATGGGATGTATTTTACTGGCATAATATGTGAGCTTGCTTTGTTGCAGGCGGAAAAGCATCTCTTGTTGTCAATAGTGTTTTAGTATGTGATGCGGCAGAGAGATTTGGCATCCGTGAATCTGAGAAATTTCGTTTCCTTAGAGAGTAAGTATTAATTGCATTTTTTGGGCCTCTTCCCTATGTATTGGACACTGTATAGGAAATGTGATAGACTGAGGTTCTATGTTTTTGATTGAAAGGGGGAAAGAATCTGGGGTTGTAATTAATTGTCATTTCCTTCGATTATGTTAGTGTAGTTGCTTTTACTTTCCTGATATGTGAATTTTGAAATCTTAATCATTATGCGTCGAATTGCTTCTTCTCCAAAGCAGAGACCGGAGGGATGCTAATAAAAAACGTCCAGAAGATGTCGGTTATGATCCGAAAACACTGTACATACCTCCTGATTTCTTAAAGAGATTAACCGGTGGCCAGGTAATTATTTTGTCATGTGTATTGGTACAGAGTACGTTGTATTTATCTGGATTGCAATTTTACTGGTGTGTGCTTTTGTTGATTGGTAGAGACAATGGTGGGAGTTTAAGGCGAAGCATATGGACAAGGTTCTATTTTTCAAGGTAATATCCATGTTATTGAATAACATGTGGATCAATGTTGTCACACATTCATGCAACCAAATGACAAATATTTCATCGTTGTTTACGCAGATGGGAAAGTTCTATGAGCTTTTTGAAATGGATGCGCATATAGGAGCAAAAGAACTTGATTTGCAATATATGAAGGTAGTTTGTACAGCATTGAGAAAACTGATTGGGATTGTGTTATGATTTAATGTCAAGAGGGACAAAAGCTTTACCAAAGGCATTTGTCTTTTGACTTAAAACATAGTATTGACTTTTATTGGTTGGTTGAAACCTGTTATTTTTGTTATTTTCCTTTTTTTTCTGGAAGGTCATATTGGATGCTCCTTGTATTGTCAGGGAGAACAACCTCACTGTGGATTTCCAGAAAAGAACTTCTCGATGAATGTAGAGAAGTTGGCCCGAAAGGTTTGTCGTATAAATTTACTCTTATGTTAATTTGTTATGTGTTTCTTGGATCTTTTGCACTTTTGACACTTCATTTTAAAATATTTACCCGGGGTCTGTGACGGAGCAGGGTTATCGAGTTCTTATCGTGGAACAAACAGAAACACCTGAACAGCTTGAGCTTCGTCGCAAGGAGAATGGTTCTAAAGATAAGGTTGTCTTTTTGATGCTAAATAAGATGCCAGGATATTCAATAATACTTGTTTTTTTCCCAATTTATTTGTACTATGGTTTTTTATGTTGAAATTTTACCCTTGCTTTACAGGTTGTGAAACGTGAAATATGTGCGGTTGTCACCAGAGGAACCTTAACTGAGGGAGAAATGCTTTCAGCCAACCCTGATGCTTCTTACTTAATGGCAGTGACTGAGAACTGCCAAATTTCAGAAAACCAACAAGAGGAGCGAATCTTTGGTGTTTGTGTGGTTGACGTTGCCACAAGCAAAATTATTCTTGGACAGGTGATTTTGTAATTTATTTTTTAATACTTATTCACAAACCTTGCGTGCGGCCAATTGTTGGTGAAAGCTGTAATGGCATATATTACGGGAACATGAGGCTAATTTTACACGATATTAATGCAATATGGAGATAAAAGGCTACACTGCCATAATGATATTTCCCAGTTCCATACTGTGGGTGTGATTTACTTTTCAAGACTAAAGGTAAGTATGACATCCCGATCCATGGATACACACTGATGTGAGCACACTCAATAAAGCCCTAGCCCAAGACAAATTAGGATCAGGCAAATACTAACACACTTAATACAGCCCTAGTTCAAACTATTTGGGGATCAGTTGCATGGCCTTTTTGGCAGATTAAGACTATTTTGTGCCCAATAGCCAATGCAGGATGTCCCTTTGTGGAAGGAGTTAAGATCCTCACTGCATCCCTGTATATCTTCCTGCATGCATATGTAAATGTATGAATGCAGGTCAATTATTTCTTTCAACTATATTTTACTCCCCCCGCCCCCTCTCAGCTCATTAATACACAAGCATGCACACATCCCTCCCCTGTTGCAACTTATCTATGCATTATGTACCTTGAAGGTCATATTATCGATTGGCATATTAAATCCTACTGGTCAATGTTGTTTATCTTGGAAATTGATCAATTGCACTGAACATCTTTTGTCTNACACATCCCTCCCCTGTTGCAACTTATCTATGCATTATGTACCTTGAAGGTCATATTATCGATTGGCATATTTAATCCTACTGGTCAATGTTGTTTATCTTGGAAATTGATCAATTGCACTGAACATCTTTTGTCCTCACAATTATGTATGACTAAGCGCACTTCTGTTTACCAGTTTGGGGACGATTCGGAGTGCAGTGCTTTGTGTTGTCTATTATCTGAACTACGGCCAGTGGAAATTATAAAACCTGCTAAACTGCTCAGCCTTGAAACAGATAGAATACTGATGAGACATACAAGAAGTCCTTTAGTCAATGAGTTGGTCCCACTCTTGGAATTTTGGGATGCTGAGAAAACTGTCAATGAAGTCAAGGGTGTTTACACGCGTCTTAATGACCAATCTGTTTCTTCATCTCTGAAAGACGCAAGTTCATTTGCTATTGACTCATCTGGCAGAGATGGCGGGGCGGAGTACCTACCAAAAATTCTTTGTGAGCTTGTGAATGCGGGCAAGAGTGGAAGCTATGCACTCTCAGCTCTTGGAGGTGTTCTTTTCTACCTGAAGCAGGCTTTTCTTAATGAAACTTTGCTTAGATTTGCAAAGTTTGAGTTACTTCCTTGCTCTGGTTTTAGTCATATTACTCGAAAGCCATATATGGTTCTCGATGCAGCTGCATTGGAGAACCTTGAGATCTTTGAGAACAGTAGAAATGGGGACTCTTCAGGGTAAATATGGCATTTTTTTATGTACATTTGAAGTTCATTGCATAGACCTAAATCTAAGGTCTTTGTTTGGTTGTGAAGGACCGTGTATGCTCAATTGAACCACTGCATGACAGCATTTGGGAAGAGGTTACTGAAAACCTGGCTTGCAAGACCATTATATCATCTGGGGTCAATTAGGGAACGCCAAGATGCTGTAGCAAGTCTGAAGGTATTTAGGACTCTTTGATTTTGATATACTGTATGGTACTTCCACCGAATTAAGCTTCCTTTTTTGAGCAAAAAAAAAAGAAAAGAATCAGNGATATACTGTATGGTACTTCCACCGAATTAAGCTTCCTTTTTTGAGCAAAAAAAAAAAAGAAAAGAATCATCCTTCCTTTTGATTTTGATATACTTGAGGTATTTAGGACTATTTGGCTTGATGTTAGGGAGTTAATCTACCTTCTGTACTTGAATTCCGAAAAGAGTTGTCCAGACTTCCTGACATGGAGCGTTTGCTTGCGCGCATATTTGCTAGCAGGTACGGGAAGAAAGTTCCATCATATATCTGATGTCTGATGTGATAGGAATATTTCTGCCAAGTTGTTTTGTGTTTATTGCTTTGCATTGTATGCAGTGAGGCTTGTGGAAGGAATGCAAATAAAGTAGTTTTATACGAGGATGCAACAAAGAAACAGCTTCAGGAGTTCATATCAGCTCTACGTGGTTCTGAATTAATGATCCATGCATGCTCCTCTCTTGCTGTGATTTTGGAAAATGTCAACTCTACACTATTATACCATTTATTAACACCTGGTATGATTGGAGCTGATATATTTGTCATTTTGGTACAAATCTTGCTTAGCATCTTACATATAAACTATATTGCAGGTAAAGGTCTTCCCGATGTTCATTCAGTTTTAAAACCTTTCAAGGATGCCTTTGATTGGGTGGAAGCAAATAATTCCGGCCGAGTAATACCTAGAGAGGGAGTTGATATGGAGTATGACTCTGCCTGCAAACGAGTTAGGGAGGTTGAGTCCAATTTGACAGAGCACTTGAAGGAACAGCAAATACTACTTGGAGATGCATCGGTAAGAACTTGACACGACTTTATATAACAGATATCAACTTCCATGTTTGTTTATATATTTTATCAAAAAAATTCTACTAACTTCCTTTCTCTGATTATCCATTTTAGATCAATTATGTAACAGTTGGCAAAGATGCCTACCTTTTGGAAGTTCCAGAACACTTGTGCAGAAATATTCCGCGGAACTATGAGTTACGTTCATCAAAAAAGGTAAGTAGCAAAAGGTGTGGCGTCTTAAGTAGATCTATTTCCTTCCATATATCTTAAGCAGGATACTCNGTTGGCAAAGATGCCTACCTTTTGGAAGTTCCAGAACACTTGTGCAGAAATATTCCGCGGAACTATGAGTTACGTTCATCAAAAAAGGTAAGTAACAAAAGGTGTGGCGTCTCAAGTAGATCTATTTCCTTCCATATATCTTAAGCAGGATACTCTTAATGAAGAGTAGATAAATATTTTTGCTTTTTCTTATTGTAACTTGGAGCTCTCATACCAGCGTATGGTACCATAAATGTTATTGTGATTTTGTGTTAAGACCTTGAAAGATCAGTTACACACGTTCCAACTTTCTTCTTCTTTCACTGGGTGGATTTCTTGTCCACTACATAGTACCTTTTCCTTTATTAAAGGAAAATTTGTTTCATATTGAAAAAACAGTTACATGTCCAACTTCAGTATTTTTTTTTGCTTNACGTTCCAACTTTCTTCTTCTTTCACTGGGTGGATTTCTTGTCCACTACATAGTACCCTTTCCTTTATTAAAGGAAAATTTGTTTCATATTGAAAAAACAGTTACATGTCCAACTTCAGTATTTTTTTTTGCTTTTTTATTTAACAAGGATTAGACATTATGACTGCACCAAAATCAGTCCTCGGCCATTTGACAAGTATAGTATTTGGATCAGACTTAAATGTCAAATATATCTGCATTGAACTATTGATTGTGTTGGGACCAAAAAAAAAAAAAAAAAACTATTGGTTGTGTTAGTTTTCAGCCATGTTGGCCTGCTTATATGCACTTATTGGGTTGAACTATACGGCTGTAGGAAAGATGCTTTCATGACCTAATAAGCCATGAAATTGCACTAGACACTGATACCACATAACGTACAGTCACCATTTGCAATTCCCTTAATTTTGAACTCATGCAAAACTTTCCTACACGTTGGTGATGCATACACACATTAAGGTTAGGTTCTGTATTATTTGTTGCATTTTGTTAGAAGTTCATCATCTACTTTAGTAATGTGAATTGGGAGTGTTAGGAGGGGTTGACTAGGTACATACCTAACATTTGACATCATATGTACAAATTGCTTGTCTTGAGATTTCAATTCACAACCCTGTTGTTTACCTGAGTATGTGTACCCCTGGATCACACAATGATTCCTATTTGTAGAATTTTCTTATTCTTTTGCATCTAAAGGCAAAAAAAAAATGCTTATGACAAGCTGATCAATGCAGTCTGAAGACTTTCCCCTGGCAAAAGTAAGGGAAAGCTTCTTGAGGCCAAGAGTTGTCCTAGTTGATAAAGGACCTCCCTTATTGGGTTTAGGACCTCGGTTCAAACCTCATCCTCCCCTCCCCAAATATAAAATGAAATTATTAACTCTCTCTAAAAATATAGGGGACAGTTTCTCTGGAGATGTACTGTGACATTATTTATGGAATCCAAATACTTCAGTATTTTGGTCAAGATCTTATTTCTTTCCCTGGGGCCATGACTTCAAACATCCACTTGACAGATTTTACTTTTTCCATATCAGGTCTCATTTTCAATTTTCCCCTGGCTTGTGACATGCAGGGTTTCTTTCGTTACTGGACTCCGGTTATTAAGAAATTTATCGGGGAGCTCTTGCAAGCTGAATCTGAGAAGGAGACTATGTTGAAAAGCATTCTGCAGAGGTTGGTTGGACGTTTCTGCGAGCATCATAAGAAGTGGAGGCAATTGGTTTTGACAATTGCAGGTATCCATATATTCTCCTTTGAATGTGGAATGTGAACTTGGTTTTTGTCTCATGTTTTATCATGAGAACCTGGTAGCTCAACATCTTATTATATATTTTGACCAACCCTGGGCTGGGTTTTGATACTTGTGTGTGAGCATGCCCAAGTCTCAGGATGTTCCTTTTTATTTTTATTTTTTTGAAGGGTTTAGGGACTGGGAGGGTGCAGCCACGTGAGTCATGTGAGTGAAAGTAAATAGTTACGTGTCTCGTTACTGTTTAGAATACCTTTACATGAGATGTTATATTCAAAAGAACCATAAATTGAATTGCCTCGCTCTTTGAATCTTTCGAGTGCAAACATCAGCTGGATTTTCAAGGTGAGATGCAAGCTTAAGCGTGGATACGGATACGAGATACGGGTATTTTGTGATACCGATACAGTGATATAGCAAAACTCATTAAAATAGGATATGGATACAGTTAAAAAATATATATTTTGTATTGTACTATTGTATAACAATTTGATAATTATAATTTTTAGTGATTCTTTAACAATAATAAACAACATTAGTAATTTTTTACTTTAAAAAAGATACCTATCATCTCATTATGGTATATCTACCAAGTGAATGTGATTAATTAAAAAAATATGGACCTAACATTTAATTAGTTTATTTGCTTAGGAAGTATTATTTGCCAAGAATAAGATTATAATGTAATCAATTCATTTATACTTTTTGGACATTTGATAGAGGATAATACTTGAAAAACACTCGTGCATTTTCCAAATCATGATTTTTTTTTTAATTTATTGCATTGCATGTGAATTCGAAAGGAGGGAGTAAATATTAGAACTGAAAATTATACAGACTTCTCCGCATATAGAAGCATTCGTTAGCTATCCACATATTTTATTTATTATTAGTTACGTTTAGTGTGTATCTGATACAGATACATCGACCTTAACAAAATNTTCGAAAGGAGGGAGTAAATATTAGAACTGAAAATTATACAGACTTCTCCGCATATAAAAGCATTCGTTAGCTATCCACATATTTTATTTATTATTAGTTATGTTTAGTGTGTATCTGATACAGATACATCGACCTTAAAAATATATGTGGTTCATAGATGCAAGAGCAAAATTACGAGGATGTCATGCACAACTGAAGTTGGCTGTTATATTTTGCAGAACTGGATGTTTTGATGAGCTTAGCAATTGCAAGTGACTACTATGAAGGACCAACATCCCGTCCAAAATTCTCGGACTTATCAAGTTTGGATGAAGTGCCATACCTTACTGCTAAAAGCTTAGGACATCCTGTTCTTAGAAGTGATACTCTAGGCAAGGGTGCATTTGTCCCCAATGATGTTACTATTGGTGGTTGTAGTTGTGCCAGCTTCATCCTGCTCACTGGTCCTAATATGGGGGGGAAGTCTACTCTTCTGCGCCAAGTTTGCTTGGCTGTTATTTTGGCCCAGGTCTTGTTCATGTGGCTTTGTAATTTCTTTGTCTTTTCTTCAACTCTTTCATAGCCTTCATGTGGAGTTCTATTCCAGGTAGGCGCAGATGTACCTGCAGAAAGCTTTGAGTTGTCTCCTGTTGACCGTATTTTTGTAAGAATGGGTGCAAAAGATCATATTATGGCAGGCCAAAGTACATTTTTAACCGAGCTTGTAGAAACTGCGTCTATGCTGGTAAGATTCTGTTGTAGTTTAATGCAAAGTAATTCTCCTGAAAAAATAATCCTTCCTTAATCGCTGAAGTATGCTCTTCTGAATCCCAAGGGAGACACGTAATGTATAAATAATTGTCAATAGATGGATTTGAGAAACCACTGAAAAACACCCATTCTGGGTTGCTAATTAATTGAATTGCTTTGGTCTTTTTTATTTATATTCATTTTGTGTTGAAGCATTCTTACATTAATTTGCAGTTTTTTCCTTGCTAGAATCAAACCAACTTATGCTAAGCGTGCAACTTTATTTCAATATTATATGAAAAGTTTATTATGCTATAATGATCTATGAGAATCTGTGCATGTAATTGATAGAGTATATTCATGTGGTGAATGTGCTTCTCATGGTTTGTGCAGTCTTCTGCTACACATAATTCTCTTGTGGCATTGGATGAACTTGGGCGGGGCACATCAACTTCAGATGGACAAGCCATAGCGTATGGGCCTGCCATATTGAATTTCTAAGCATGTTCCTTCTAGCTAATACATATTTATATTTAGTTATTGATTCTCTCGTTGAATTTGATATTGTTGGAATTTTCGTCGTACAATCTTCANCCTGCCATATTGAATTTCTAAGCATGTTCCTTCTAGCTAATACATATTTATATTTAGCTATTGATTCTCTCGTTGAATTTGATATTGTTGGAATTTTCGTCGTACAATCTTCAGCTCTTCTCAATTTCTCTTTTCTGGATTTCCTTTGGCAGGGAATCAGTTCTTGAACATTTTGTCCAGAGGGTGCAGTGTCGAGGACTGTTCTCTACTCACTATCATCGATTGGCTGTAGACTATCAGAAAGATCCCAAGGTTTTGTTTTTGTTTCTTCCCTTGTCTTTTTTTTCCTCTGGGAACCAAGATGTAAACTACATTAACTAAAAACAACTTTAAATGACATTTTGGAGTTCAAACTAGTCTTCAATTCTGAGCAAGGATGCATGGGATAACCAAGTTTGGCATATGGATTGACAATTTTCTCTTCATCAAGTTTCTAAAGCATGTTATCATAATCATATTCCTTTTCCCGTTTGGTGTACAGGTCTCCCTGTGTCATATGGCATGCCAAGTTGGAAAAGGAATTGGAAGTGTTGAGGAAGTTACTTTTCTTTACCGGTTGACACTTGGTGCATGCCCTAAAAGCTATGGTGTCAATGTTGCAAGGCTAGCTGGTATCTTCTCTTTTTTCTTCTCATCAAAAGGAATAAGAGTTAATTAATATGCTGGTTGTATATTTATATATTATTTGTCCCTTTTTAGAAACCAATGCAAGAACTGAAGAATATCAGTCAAGGGGCAAAACTAGGTTTGTTCACAGTGGCAGAGTTAGCAAGGGGGCAGTGGGGGTAGCAATTTTTTAGAACTCAAGGGTTTATCACTTTTTATCTAAAATTTTGATAAATTTATTTTCTTTTAGAATTTTCTCCCACTAAAATGTTTATAAATAAAAATTCAGGGGAAGTATCATATTTTTAAAAATAAGTGGGATTTTATTTTGTAAATTAAAAGGTGGATTTTAAACTTTTCCTACACGAATCAATCTCATGACTCTATCCAGTCTCTAATTTCCTCTTTTTCCTTTGTAGCAACACACCTAGCCAATGATTTAATCCTCCTTGTTTTTTTTTCTCGCCCTGCTTCCTCAGTTGATGACCACAACTGAAGACTTACGATTTGATCAAAGGCTTAAAAATTATCAGTTATCATCCACCATCTGTGTTAGTGGTTGTTTGGTTGTTCTCTTTAACTTGAATCTCTCAACTAATGATTTCTTTCTCACCCTCGCTTTAATCTCGTTTCCTCTTTTATTTTTTAAAATAAAGATAAATTGAGACTTCAAGTTTGAAACTCTTAAGTTTGGAATTGGATTTGATCTTTCAAACCCTATTATAATATAAGCACTACAAATTAGAATGTAACAAAGCAAAAAGTTTTTAGGGAGCACGCATATAACATGCTATAAAAAAGGCCTGAATTTTTCTCCATTTGTAGTGGTAATGATTTGGAATTGGATTTCTCTGCATAAAATTTAGAATTTGCTTTTCCATGGATTAAATTGTTTTGATTGATTGCTTGAAATGCAATGTACATTCTATGATGAATTATTGATTCTATTTAATTGGATTTCTATATTTGGAATTTTGCCTATTATTGATTACATTTCGAATTAAAGTGTTTTGATTGATTAGACTTGAACAATTTGCTTGTGGTAAATTAAATTCTTCATATACCTAAGTTCAGTTTGATAAATATGTGATAGATTGAATATCTTTTTAAATAAATTCTATTAATTCTATTCTATTTATTTTGAATATTTATGCTCCTCATACGTTGTTTGTTATCAACTCAGTGATACATTTTTTAGTTTGAGTCTAAGCAAATACTATGAATCAGTTATGGATAAATTTATTTAGAAAAATCAACGTTGAAACAAATAATGTTAGCATTATTTTATAAGTGATTACTACTAACTAATAGATTTCCCCCACTACGGAAAAATCCTTCCTCCACCCCTAATTGTCCAATGAAGTGAAGTTGCCTCTTGGATATGAAGCTACCTTTGATCAGAAACCTTGTGCCCTTTTAAATTGTGCTTCCATTTTGAGAAACTAAATATGAAAACATGGAGAATGCTTAAGAAACAATTGCATGAGTAGGGTTCAAGTCAAAGTTGTGACTCTTATAATAAAAAATAGCATCAGGTCATTCAAAAATTTTGTTTCCGTAAGGAATATGTGATGTACTTGTCAATCTGTCTGCCATGGGTTTGTGGGCATGTTCTTCAGCAATACTTGAAGGAACTGCACTTATTACTAGTGCCATTGCAGGACTTCCGGACACGGTACTTCAAAAAGCTGCTGCCAAGTCTCGAGAGTTTGAGGAAATGTATGGTAAAAATGAGAAGAACACTCTGAAAAAATTGCCTGAACAGAGTTGGGAAGACAAGATGATAATCCTCCAAAATTTGATCAATGTTATAGTTAGTATTAATTGCCATGAGACTGCCGCTGAGAGTGCAGTGGCTAGCTCTTTGATCAATCTGCAACGCAGAACAAGGATACTTCTGGAGCGGAATTAGGAACATTGAAATGTTTTGATGTTCATTACTAGTGTCTGTTCTTATTACTTGGCACCCATTGACAGTTATGATCGAGTATCTCATTCTTGGCCAATTGTGGTTCCACGGGTTTAACTGCCAAGACATCTCTGCTTGCGTTGCATTCATGCTTGTAACAGTTTAGAAGATGTTACAGCCGGCAAATAGATACGACAAGTGCTGTTCAAGAAAAGCTGATTGTGTTCAGAATCCCCATTTTTGTATGTTAGCCACAAACATTAGTGTACATCCATATCTTTGTGACACCTCTAAGACACTATTCATCAAGCACTGCCCGGAGGATTATTTTGTTTGCGCATGGTTGTAATTTTTGAACAGCAAAATCTCAACCAACGGGAAAGGTTGTTGGTTGTGCCCAACTGTTGTACCTGTATACCCCTGTATTCTAAGCAGGTGTGGCTCCGCATTATGCGTTATACTGAGTGGTAACAGTTTTTTTTTTAACAGTCTGAGGTGTTTAAATTAGTTTACATGCATCGATTAATTTCTTTCTTAGTTCAATCAAGTCATTCATGTTAAAATTAGAATATTTATGAGAAATAAATTTTTAATAATCTAGTTCCAAAATTTTTTCAAGATTTGAATTCAGAAAGTCGNTTTTTTTTTTAACAGTCTGAGGTGTTTAAATTAGTTTACATGCATCGATTAATTTCTATCTTAGTTCAATCAAGCCATTCATGTTAAAATTAGAATATTTATGAGAAATAAATTTTTAATAATTTAGTTCCAAAATTTTTTAAAAATTTGAATTCAGAAAGTCTNATTAGTTTACATGCATCGATTAATTTCTTTCTTAGTTCAATCAAGTCATTCATGTTAAAATTAGAATATTTATGAGAAATAAATTTTTAATAATCTAGTTCCAAAATTTTTTCAAGATTTGAATTCAGAAAGTCGGAATTTATAGTTCGCTTTTTTAGAATTGTGATAATAGTTTTTGAAGAGGTAAATACTGTTCTCATTGCTAGGAAAATTTCCTCTATATTTTCATTTCTTTCCGCTAGTTGTGGAATCTTTTAAACAGGGGGGGCATTGCTATAATGCCTCGTGTACAAATGGAAGCACAGGAAGAATCAAGGGTGCATTTCAACTCTATGCTGGTGCTGCTCTCATTTTCTCCATTGTCTTGTGTCATCTTTCAATGCCAGAAACCTAATAACNAACTCTATGCTGGTGCTGCTCTCATTTTCTCCATTGTCTTGTGTCATCTTTCAATGCTAGAAACCTAATAACATATACAGAAAAATAGAAAAACTTTTAGTTGCAGTATAACTCAGCACCAGATGAACCAAAAAGGAGGACAATTTTTCCTCACTTAGATTTCAGTTAAAGGTTAGGGTTGCATACAAGTATTCATCTAACTTTTGAGTGATAAATTAGGAAACTAACCCCATGTCGACGCATAATACTGTTTTGAATTGCTGTGATTATACGTATCAATATGTACATAGGAACTAATATGCCACTAGCTCTTATAATAAGCAGCTGCAAGATTATATAAACATTCTCAAGTTAGATAATGTTGTTCCTGTTCAAAAAAAGAAAGAAAAGATAATGTTGTTCAAATACTAATAGCACTAAAATAAAAGGAAAAAAAGTTTCTTACAGTTAAAAGTGTAAATGGGTAATCCTCGGTTCCTCCAGTAAGAACATCGAGCAGATGTCTCAGTAGCATAACAACTGTGAACTGCCGATGTGTTTAACAAAACAAATTAGAATAAAATAAGTAGGGAGGGAGAGTATTTTGGCAATGAAAAAGCAACAGAAAACTTGACTTGGCATAACCTAGTCAAATTCGTTTTCGAAAAGTGTAATGAGCGCAATCACGAGTTTCATAATCCTACCAGTGAGAATTTATTAAGGTGNAGAGTATTTTGGCAATGAAAAAGCAACAGAAAATTTGACTTGGCATAACCCAGTCAAATTCGTTTTCGAAAAGTGTAATGAGCGCAGTCACGGGTTTCATAATCCTACCAGTGAGAATTTATTAAGGTGGTCTTTGAATGCTCTTTTATCCTAAAGTTTTTTTCAATAGCCAAAAAAAAAAAAAATTGACTAAGCATTAATAAAAGGATAAAATTCTCTCCCATTCCCATTTGGGGTATCTGACACAGGCCCAATCTTGCCACATCATCACATCTAATGACCAGGGGGCCAGCTAATGTAGCTTGGTTGGGGCTATGGAGATTCAAATAAAATGGCTTCTGGGGCAGATTCAAATTTCCAACGTCAATAACGTAGGAAAATGTCTTTCTTTAGGCCACTTTACACATGTCATCTGACAATCGAAATATAATAACAGTTCAGCACAAGACAAAAGGTCCAATTTTTTTATATTATATTTTTATTTTTCATTCAATAAAATACTAACACATAAAAAATATATTTTATTATTCCGTATTATTCTTTATAATCGATGACTACAAATANTTCAAATTTCCAACGTCAATAACGTAGGAAAATGTCTTTCTTTAGGCCACTTTACACTTGTCATCTGACAATCGAAATATAATAACAGTTCAGCACAAGACAAAAGGTCCAATTTTTTGATATTATATTTTTATTTTTCATTCAATAAAATACTAACACATAAAAAATATATTTTATTATTCCATATTATTCTTTATAATCGATGACTACAAATCAATTAAGTTAAAATCTACGGCTGTTGATCAACTTCCTATATAGGGTACCCCACATNCATAAAAAATATATTTTATTATTCCGTATTATTCTTTATAATCGATGACTACAAATAAATTAAGTTAAAATCTACGGCTGTTGATCAACTTCCTATATAGGGTACCCCACATATTTTTGTTGACATATATATCGGTTCATTATTTTGGTCCTCTAATAAATGAAAACGTTTTGATCTAAATAAAAATAAAAATAAAATTTGAGAATTATTTTTTCAAAATATTGATTAAAAAAATACCAAAACATGTGGAGAGTGATTTTTCCATGGCTGACTGAATGCAACTTTCAAGTTCAGAAATCAATTTGTTCAACGTAAGAGAAAGGTCTTATGTAGACGACTTACAATGAGAGCCATTGATCTGCAGCGAGAGGCGCCTCTATTGGCAGCAAATGAGCATTCAGGGTATCCAGTCTCAAGCCTTTGTCCTTCAGCTATGCCCACTGATCCACTGTTTTCTAGCTCTCGCTCTCTTCTTGGAACTTCCAAGCTTCCTCTACATATACATATATATATATATATTTTTATCGATATGTGTTATGATCAGAACTATGATATCCTTTATCCTTAAAAATGAACAATTGAACAGACTAACCTTATGGTCACTATTGTATCAATCAACTGGGTCTTTACTGGAGGAGCTGTATATGTATACCCAGGTTCAAAATTCTGCAACAGCATGAATGTCATTTTCAAATTCAATAAGAGTTATAACAGATATGAACAAACCAACCTTCTAATCTAAATTTTAAAAATTTTCAGAAAAAACTTCGAAAAGATCATAATTAAATAGACTTGGTCAAAGGTATACCCAGTAGATAAGGATATAGAGAGTACAGCCCCCTCTGTTGACTATTTTAATCCAATAAATGCCAGTAGAAACAAAGAACAAATCGAATTCTATATATAAATAAATGATGATACAATGATTCTAAAGCTCTGTATGCTTTACCATTACCTTTACAAGATTAAACAGAGAAACACACANTGATGATACAATGATTCTAAAGCTCTGTATGCTTTACCATTACCTTTACAAGATTAAACAGAGAAACACACATACACACACAGAGAGGTGAAAACTAAGAAGAGAAATTAAATAGAAGGTGAAGATGAGAAGAGAAAGTACAAGACAGAACAAGGACGAAGAAAGCATGAGTTTGAAATTTTGAATTTTAAAAACGACAGTCTATAATCCAATTCGAATCGCAACAACAAACAATACGTGCGAAGACGACGCCAGATAACCCTTAAAATTTCATTTGAAAACGACGCAGTACAAGAAAATACAAAACAGTAAAAGCTTCCCTAAAGAAAGATTCAAAAAATCGATACAGAGAACCCATGAATCATGTTCACTCCCCAAGTTCATATGAAAACAAACCTGTAGACAAATTTCACAAGTTGTGTTTCCCTTTTCATTACACCATCTTTGTATGCAATCTCTGTGTGCGAACTGAGGGGGAAATATGGAAAAGGAATCGATTCAGACACCCATCAAATTAACAAAAAAAATTATGTACCCAAATGGTACAGTCCATCGAACCAGATCAGAACAGAAAGATGGTGTTTGCAGCATATATACCTTGACAGTCCCAGAACAAGCACAAGGAGCTTCCAAGCTCTTGCAGCTTTCAAACTCTTCTTCGTGGCATATTCTACATAAAGACGTTGCCGAAGACGATTTCAAATCATCCACAAATAATACAACGTCTCCCATCTTTCTTTTCTTGTTTCTCTTCTCAAAAATCTCTTCGCTCTCTCCCTCTCTGCACTCTTGCCTTTATAGAATACAAAAGTAAAGTTAAAATTCCAAGGCTACCCTTCTTATTTTTCCAAATATCAAGTGTAATTCATAAATATATCCCCTTGCACTAAATAATCAAGACGCCTTTTAAGAATTACTGCACAAAATAAACCAAGCCTTTTGACCCGTGCGTGTAACTAAAGCACTGTTAAATGGTTCCAAATCTATCATTTTAGATGGGTCTTTTGGGGATACGATATTTTTTTTTTAGTTCACCATTCAAAGTGTTTTTTTTTTCCTCGCACTATTTATAGTGTTTAAATTAATTTATGTGTACTTTAATTAATTCTCTTATTGGTCAGATTAAAAATAAATCATCAACACTAGAATTAAAATATTCAATTTTTTTTTTAAACTTTTTTTGGGAGGGGGGAAAAGGGGGACTTGAACCCTTGATTTCAAGAAGACAAAATCTTTACAAGACAAGGAGTACCATTGAACCAAAGGCCCATTGGTAGAATTAAGATATTCATGAGTGATAAATCTCTTATGATTTGACCTCAAAAAATTGTTAAAATTCGAAATCAAAAAAATCTAAATTTTAAATTCGTTCCTATTACCATTTGAACTACTTTTTAAATTAAAATTTTTTATTGTATTTAGTACAATTTTTAGGTTTCTCCCTCCTTTTTTGTCACACTTTGTTGAAGTAAATTAAATTGGTGACCTATTTGACTAATGAGTTCTGTAAGCACATTAAGCCATTCACAATTTGATGACAGAAATAAACTTTAGTCTTCTATTGAAATACTTATATATATATATATATAATCAACATAAGAAAATCCTTATAGTTTATAGTATTGAATTTGCTCAATCTTTGACTTACTCATATCAAGGTTCCTATTGAGTAGGTTGTAATCGAATGTAGTATAAGTTTTGGACACTTTCGTAACTTAAAAATAGAAAATATTATACAATTCAAATGAGATTTAAAAAATTATAATTTAAAAGTATATCATTTCTCTGATGAGTGGGTCCTATTAATTTTTTTAGTAAGACTCACTCATTCAACATTCATGCATGTAATAAATAATATGCATTTAAATTATAATTTTTAGATTTTATTTGAATTGCGTAAAATTTTTTTAAAAAAAATTGTGGCATTTTTTGTTCGTTTGTCTTGGATTTTAAAATTTCTCTCTTTCACACGTTTAAATCTGAGATGTGTGGGGCCATGGCCGATTAACGGTCAGCAATTAGATTACCAGAATTTTCAAAAAGTGGGTTCCACATTTTAAAAAATAAAAAAATAACACGCTTTCTAAAGGCCCACGTGGCATGCATTGCTAGTTGCCCAGATTCCGTGGGCCCGTTTAGGACGCCGCTCGATGATGTGTCTCTCTTTTTTTCAGTTTTCGTTGTCTATATTTTTTTTTAAACATGCACTACTTTGGTTTTCGGACTATATTATGGGAGGGTGACATTTGTGCTTATCCTCTCCTCGTTCTTATCACCTCTCTCTTTCTCCCTATCAAATTCAATGATGACACAACTTAGAGATAAACTTTTCAAAAAATAATATCTAAACATAATTTTTTTTAAAAATTAAAAAAATATATTTTTATTTTGTAAAACTTATTTCATTATATATTATTGAAAATATTCTAAAAACTTTTTTTTCCTAAAAACTTCATATATTAAAAAGTATTTGAAACAAAAAAATAAAAATTACTAGTGAAATATATTTTTTTTGACTNCCCTTGCACTAAATAATCAAGACGCCTTTTAAGAATTACTGCACAAAATAAACCAAGCCTTTTGACCCGTGCGTGTAACTAAAGCACTGTTAAATGGTTCCAAATCTATCATTTTAGATGGGTCTTTTGGGGATACGATATTTTTTTTTTAGTTCACCATTCAAAGTGTTTTTTTTTTCCTCGCACTATTTATAGTGTTTAAATTAATTTATGTGTACTTTAATTAATTCTCTTATTGGTCAGATTAAAAATAAATCATCAACACTAGAATTAAAATATTCAATTTTTTTTTTAAACTTTTTTTGGGAGGGGGGAAAAGGGGGACTTGAACCCTTGATTTCAAGAAGACAAAATCTTTACAAGACAAGGAGTACCATTGAACCAAAGGCCCATTGGTAGAATTAAGATATTCATGAGTGATAAATCTCTTATGATTTGACCTCAAAAAATTGTTAAAATTCGAAATCAAAAAAATCTAAATTTTAAATTCGTTCCTATTACCATTTGAACTACTTTTTAAATTAAAATTTTTTATTGTATTTAGTACAATTTTTAGGTTTCTCCCTCCTTTTTTGTCACACTTTGTTGAAGTAAATTAAATTGGTGACCTATTTGACTAATGAGTTCTGTAAGCACATTAAGCCATTCACAATTTGATGACAGAAATAAACTTTAGTCTTCTATTGAAATACTTATATATATATATATATAATCAACATAAGAAAATCCTTATAGTTTATAGTATTGAATTTGCTCAATCTTTGACTTACTCATATCAAGGTTCCTATTGAGTAGGTTGTAATCGAATGTAGTATAAGTTTTGGACACTTTCGTAACTTAAAAATAGAAAATATTATACAATTCAAATGAGATTTAAAAAATTATAATTTAAAAGTATATCATTTCTCTGATGAGTGGGTCCTATTAATTTTTTTAGTAAGACTCACTCATTCAACATTCATGCATGTAATAAATAATATGCATTTAAATTATAATTTTTAGATTTTATTTGAATTGCGTAAAATTTTTTTAAAAAAAATTGTGGCATTTTTTGTTCGTTTGTCTTGGATTTTAAAATTTCTCTCTTTCACACGTTTAAATCTGAGATGTGTGGGGCCATGGCCGATTAACGGTCAGCAATTAGATTACCAGAATTTTCAAAAAGTGGGTTCCACATTTTAAAAAATAAAAAAATAACACGCTTTCTAAAGGCCCACGTGGCATGCATTGCTAGTTGCCCAGATTCCGTGGGCCCGTTTAGGACGCCGCTCGATGATGTGTCTCTCTTTTTTTCAGTTTTCGTTGTCTATATTTTTTTTTAAACATGCACTACTTTGGTTTTCGGACTATATTATGGGAGGGTGACATTTGTGCTTATCCTCTCCTCGTTCTTATCACCTCTCTCTTTCTCCCTATCAAATTCAATGATGACACAACTTAGAGATAAACTTTTCAAAAAATAATATCTAAACATAATTTTTTTTAAAAATTAAAAAAATATATTTTTATTTTGTAAAACTTATTTCATTATATATTATTGAAAATATTCTAAAAACTTTTTTTTCCTAAAAACTTCATATATTAAAAAGTATTTGAAACAAAAAAATAAAAATTACTAGTGAAATATATTTTTTTTGACTCAACTAAAACATTTGAAATTATATGAACAAGATTAGATATGAGATTTTAATTTTTTTTTATTGATATAACTCAAAAGAAATATCTCTATTATAACATACGAAAAAAGATTTTTGACGATCAATAGTTGGCCTAATGGTCACTACAGTTCATCGTTGAACCATTAAGTCGTGGGTTCAAATTTTACTGTTTCCTCCTTTTAAATAATTTTATAAATATTAAAGTTTTTATATTGACCAGAAAAGATAGCTCAATTTTGTGTGGATACTTTGGGGCATATCACAAGCTCTATCATGTTGGACCTCTCGTTTAAGTTACACAAATGGCAACTGTTGTAAGCTCTAATAATTAATTGGTCCTACCTATTTTCTAACTCAGACAAGTCTACCGTACCAAAAGTTTTATTATAGTTTATTTTTACAAATTTTAAAGGTCATTTATAAATTTTTAGAATTATTTAAAACTTTTGAGGGTCATTTATAATTTTTGAGATTATTTGTGATTGATTTAAAAAAATTACTTATAAAAATTATAAATGACTCATAAAAATTATGATATGACCTCAAACGTCGTACAAATTTAAAAATATACGGTCCCGAAATTTCTTATTGGTACATTAGTGAGACTCCCCGTCTAAGTCACACACAACCACAAAGTGCCGACTTGTTTGGGCAGAGAGATCTTGACCGTCCACGTAGCGACAGAATGGAGACCACGTGTTCGCTGAATTACTTGTAGATTTAAATAATAGGGGTGCGATTTGGACAGGCTAATCCGAGTACAACTCGAAAAAATTAGGACTTGTACTAAAATTTTTAATAATTGGGTTAGATTTGGGTCAAAAAATTTCAGCCCGAATTCGATTTATGTAGGTCTCATGTTGAGGCATCGGGTTCAACCTAAATTAATACTATATATGTTAAACGGCAAAAAAAAAAAAAATTCAAAGAGGTTCATTCATCTTCAACTCTTTCGGCACATGGATGGGCAAATGGATTGGTTTTCTTGTGTGGGTTCTAGGAAAAGAAATGAAGCAAAGAATTTGATTTGGAGTTTTAGTGGAGTTTTAAACTCCCAGTTGGCTTGTTACTAACTTTTTTCTAATATTATAGCAAATTCTTAAAATATTCTGCTCTGCTCTATCAAAGACTATTGTAAAAAAAAATTATGTTTTGGCCTTTCAAAGACTATTTTAAAAAAAATTTACTTTGGTCTTTCAAAGACCAGTTTAAGAAAAAAAAATTTGTTTTGATCTTTCAAAGACTATTTTAAAAAAAAAATTTGTTTTGGTCTTTCAAAGACCATTTTAAGAAAAAAAATCTGCTTTAGTCTTTCAAAGACCATTTTAAGAAAAAATTTCTGTTTTGGTCTTTTAAAGATTATTTTAAAAAAATTATACTTTGGTCTTTGAAAGACCAAATTAAGAAAAAAAAAATTATGTTTTGGCCTTCAAAGACCATTTTAAAAAAAATTTTACTTTGGTCTTTCAAAGACCATTGTAAAAAAAAATATTCTGTTTTGGTCTTTCAAAGAAATTCCATTTTAAAGCAGTATGAAGTTTCTAACTCCAAAGAAAATTTATTGAAATTAAGAGCCTTTGCCTTTTAAAAAATTGTCAGATTCTACCCATAGTCAAGTTAAGGAGTTTCTAACTCCTAAAGTTTTTTCGGGCA